TCTTCAACGCAATTTCCACGAAGTCATGAATCCGCTTGTTGATCTTCGCAATTGAATGTAAAGTTTAACGGGGGTGGGAGTTTAATATTCCCTAATACCCTTGTTGATCTTCCCAATTGAATGCAAAGTTTAACGGGGGTGGGAGTTTAATATTCCCTAATACCCTTGTTGATCTTCCCAATTCAATTAAAGTTTAACAGGGGTGGGAGTTTAAATTCCCTAATACCCTTGTTGATCTTCCCAATTGAATGTAAAGTGTAACGGGCCTGGGCGTAGTAGTAGTAGTAGTAGTAGTAGTAGTAGTAGCGTAGTAGTAGTGGTAGTGGTAGTGGTAGTGGTAGTGGTAGTGGTAGTGGTAGTGGTAGTGGTAGTGGTAGTGTAGTGGTAGTGGTAGTGTTAGTGGTAGTGGTAGTGGTAGTGGTAGTGGTAGTACAGTATTAGTAATAGTAGTAGTAGTATTAGTAGTTAGCGTAGTAGTAGAAGTAATAGTAGTATAGTAGTATAGTAGCAGTAGTAGTAGTAGTAGCGTCGTCGTAGTAGTAGTAGCCGTGGGTAGTAGTAGTAGTAGTAGTAGTCGTAGTAGTAGTAGTAGTCGTCGTCGTCGTCGTCGTCGTCATAGTAGTAGTAGTCATAGTAGTAGAAGTAGTCGTCGTCGTAGTAGTAGTAGTAGTCGTCGTCGTAGTAGTAGTAGTCCTCATAGTAGTAGTAGTAGTCCTCATAGTAGTAGTAGTAGTATAGTAGTAGTAGTAGTAGTAGTAGTCCTCATAGTAGTAGTAGTAGTAGTAGTCCTCATAGTAGTAGTCCTCATAGTAGTAGTAGTAGTAGTCGTCGTCGTCGTCGTCGTCGCGTGCTTGCGTTACAAACAGTCGCACCTTCTCTTGCCTCTCCCTCCTGCCTTTTCCCCCCCTACCTTTCGTCCCCCCCCTCTCAAGTATTCTGTACAGATCAGTTGGGTCTTGCCATTTTGGGGGTTTTCGGGTTTTCCTTCAAAGATGGTTAAAACCAATCAAAGAAGGAAACAAGAACAAGACAAAACAAGATCAACCCAAAAGAAAATGCCGGAGCCCGAGGTCCAACAGTTGCAAAATGTAGGTCCAACAGTGGCCAGGTGGAGGGTGCCTGACGTCATTTTCTTTTTGTACCTGTCCATTGTGTTTTGCTTTGGTTTTCCTATCTTACCTTATGCCCTCTCATTTTATTGGCATTTTCTCCTTAGGCCCCTGCATTTTATTATATTTTTTTAGGGGTTCCACCCCCCCCTGGCAACAGACGAGGGTACTGATGTTCCAATGACTATCCACTTTTTAATGATTGTTCTGAATGGCTCCCATCATCGTTAAAAACGCGACGGTCCCGTGTGGATTTGCCAGGCGCCTGGCTGAGTCACATGTTCCACATGGCCGACATCGACCGAAACGGTTTGCTGAACTTCCCCGAGTTTGTTGCTGCACCCGGGCAGATCCATGGGATGGGGATGGATCAATGTCGATACTTATTCTCCCATGGGATGATCGTGGGATACAATCATGAAGACAGTGTTGTTGTTGTTGATGATGATGATGATGTTGTTTTTCATAAAGTTTTTTCCAGAACACTTTCTATTGAAATCAGACATTTCTTTGTTAGGGCAGTCCTTCCACATAGAATTGTAATTACAATGAATATTAATGAATTAGGTTCAATTTTTTTTGGCGGCCCCTGCAGCCACAGTATTTGAATGGCGTAGTAAATGGATTGGTGCACGGTTGCAATGAAGATGCTGGGTCATAACATGCAAGATCATGGAAGTCAGCTACTCGGACTACCAACTCCTAGTGACCCCTAGTGATGGTAGAGGCCAGGATCCGATGGGAACACTTAGCAAAACCAGCGGTGCCGGACACAGCCACTTTTCGACTGGGTCAAGAGCCATGAATCTTGCGACTGGGTCATGTGAGGCTATTTATGGTCTATTTGGCCCTTTTGAATACATCATGATGCTTCGTGTTGTTGTTTTTCTTTTGGTTTATAAAAGCTACCGCAAAAAGATAGAACGCACTTTAGAAACTCTTTCAGTAGGGTTTAGACTTTTCTATCTTTTGGTGGGTTGAAAGTGGTCTGGTTGTTGTTTCTATCCTTGACGATAATCAAGGGCAGCCATTTTCGTAGGCTCCTGACGGAACAGCCTCTGTCGTCCGGAAACAACACGGGAGGAAATTAAAAAACCCCCGTCAATTAGATTTAGTATTGCAGGTTGCCTTTTTGTACCGGGTATAGTCCATTCACCGTAAAACGATAAGGAAGAAAAAAAACGATAACGCTAAGTATTATATATACATATATATATATATACATGCATGTGTGTATACATATAAATAAATATATATATATATATGTATACATATGTATGTATATGAATATATGTGTCAACATATGTTACCATCATGATTCTGGCACTGGTGGTATGGGATTCATCCATGTTAGTCACATGTTTTGCATTGCGTTGTGTGTTTGTGGGGATGTCAGCGTGAACAAAACGATAACAAAACGATAACAAAAACGATAACAAAATTAACCCGAAAGCCATCTTCAAACACCATGGCCCATTGATCACCTTGCCTTAAATATTATCGCAGGTGCGCGCATTGACAGAAACCTAACGCCAGACGAACCCATATACTATAAGACTCCCTGCCACCACAACAAACTCAGCTAGCCAGCCAGCTAGCCAAAGCGACTGAATCAACCAGCCAGCCTATGCCAACCCCAGCGTTGGAGACAACCAGCCAACCTAAAGACATTTTAAAAAAGGTCCTCTTCTAAACACGTTGTGGCTACATGTGGCTACGGTGAGTTTGCTCCAAGAAGCGTTTTTGCAGCAAAGGTATGAATGCCCGAGGTCAATGGAAGCTGAACGAATGATTTCTTGGATGGCGGCCGCATGTGCATAAACCTCTTTGATTGTGATAAGTGCAGATAGCCTGCAAAACGATAAGGAAGAAAAACAACGATAAGGTGAAAGCGGCATAAGCAAATTTATACGTTTTTTTTTTAAAATCACCGGGGCCATTTTCGTTTTCCGCCATCAACCTTTGGTTGGGGGAAACCCGCAGAAAAGTAAATCCAATTCTAAAACCTTACTTGCCTTTAGCTCTGTTTGAAGGCGATGGAGAACGAATTCAAAAATATTGGTACATTAAACATCATCAAACCTTTTCAGCCTTTGTTTTTTCTCCCCCTCCTGGCTACCATAGATTGTGAAAACGTGGCTCCCGACCGACTAAAAACGTGACTTCTCCCAATCTCTAACAGCCGAGGTCACATTTGACTGGTCAACACTCGAGAAGCCAGTTTTGGATGGCATCTTGAGACGGCTGTTTAATCAGCTGGACAAAGATGGGAACGGCGAGGTGCCTCTACGTGAGACCTGAAAAGCTGTTCTGTTTACACGGAAAAAACAGCAAGAGAGATACGAATTTTCGCAGGAAGCTTGTTACACAAACTCACCAAGTTTTGCCAACTGGTAGTAGCACTTTGGCCAGTTTTTTTTTCAAGTTGTAGTTCCTTTTTGTTTTTTCCTATCCCACATGTCTATATCATCATTCTATGCCATTGGTGATCTACGCCATCGGTGCCCGGCCCATCCTGGTGACCTCTGGGTGGTTTTGCAGGTCAGTGTAGAGGAACTCGCGGAGATCTTCAAAGGCGCGCTGAGCTGGTCCGAGCTGGAGCAGGTCTGTGCAAGGCGCCGCTGGGACGGGACCGACCCCGGGGCTTTTCTGACTGGCGCTGTTTTTTTTTTTGTGACGCCCAAAAGGGGGGGTTGGGGTGACTGACTTTCACCTTTCACCGTTTTTTTTTTCCCGTTTGACTTTTTTCCCGTGCTGTTTGACCAACAGAGAATGGTGAAAAAATGGGATGTAAGCAAGAAACATCGGGATTCATGGGGATTTACGCGACCAGAATTGGGATTTGACTAATTAACAAACATGGGGATATCACCAACAACCATGATGGTACAATGGGAATACAATGGGATATCATGGGGATAATTAATCTGGCCAAAATAGTTATTCAACCAATATTTGTTTGAGATTACTCCAACGAAATGGACATAATTGTCTTCATTGAAAATTTAAGACATAATTTAAGATGATTTCAGGGTGAGATCGGTTCATTTCGGTTCGTTTCGGTTCCTGGAAGTAGTCGGTTTCTAGCGGTTCGATTCCTGACGGTTCGGTTCTCGGTACGCGGTTCGGTTCCGGAGCCTTCCTGTACTATTCATCATGAGGATTTCATGCAGTTGCGGTTGATTTAAAGGTGAGTTGCAAATCAGAAAGCCCATATTGGGCTGGTTTGTTTCCCTTGCTAAAGATGGCTTTGTTGCCATGAACACTTTCCCGATCTCATGGCTGGGCCATGGGGGTTATGGGATGGGACATGACCTGATTTTTGGAGCTGAGATGAGGTAACATGTTTTTGATATTAGGACATTTCAACCTCCCAGATGGAAAAGAATTCACTCGCAATAACTTTGGATTTGGACAGTCAACATCGAGATCAAATTTCCTTTCAAGCACCAGTCCAACTATTAGTGGTTCACTTCCCAACATTTCCCAAGTGCTCCAAAGAACCCCAAGTGATCCGATTTTGGGCTATCCCTTCCAGTGGACCATGTATTGAGGATAATCATGGTCCATGATTTGGGGGATCATCCAACAATACCCAAGTCAGGTTTAAAAAAAATACGATGTTTCACTGCTGAAATGAGATGATGGGGAATATGTTTCTATTTCATTGGAATCTACCTAATGGGCTTGAATATCATATGAATTTCATTAGGATTATATATATATATCCAAGGAGTATAGGATTGGGTTTTCATTGAATCCATTATCATTCATTTGGAATTCTGTGGGGATATTCCCTTAGCACTTACATAGCACAAAAACCATGGCGGCCTTAGATCCTGGTACCTCCAATTTAACCATCGCTGAAACGGCCACTGAAGTAAGTTATAAGTTGGTTTATAATCCCAACTAACTCTAGATAATATCATGATATATTTACCCGGTAAGGTAAACTAACTAATAACATAACTATGGAAAGATCCACCATTTTTAATGGGAAAATTTACACTATGTCTATGACCAATGACCATTTTCAGCTATGTTTGTGACTACCAGAGGGTGCCAGTTCACTAACATTCACTAACGCCGAGTTATTGGAGTTGGACTATATTCCCAGATATTCCCAGATATTCCCAGATCAAATCCGATGGAAATCCCACAGGATCGATGCGGACTGCGACGGCCACGTGACCGTGGAAGAGCTGGAGACGTTGCCGAGCTGACACGACCCATGGAGCCGTGCATGGTTAACACGGTGGCCATGGGATGGTTTAACCTGGTTGGTAGTGGTGAATGATGTTTTTTTTTGTGGCTGAAAAATGGTAGACAATAGCCAGTGAATGATGGTTAATGATGGTTGATAGTGGTTAATGATGGTGATGAATGATGGTTACCCATCATTAACTCCATCATTTACCAGAGGCCAACACCCCAAACCACCAGTCATTATAGGGGTTTATGATGGTTAATGATGGTTAATACTGGTTGATAATGGTGATGAATGGTGATTTACCCTCTGGTAAACCAACAGTTTGCGCTATGGAACACCACCATTTTTAAGAACGGTAAATCAACGAACTCAATGACCATTTTCAATAGCAAACAGTTAAATTACCAGAGGGTATACTATTGTGGGTAAATTGTAACCTTTTCTCCCTGGAATGACGGTGGGGGAATGATCCTATTATTTCTGGTGAATTATTGTGACTCTTCAATTATTGTGAATGATCGCCCGCAATTTGATAATTCGCAGGATACCTATTAACCAACCAGAACAATGGGATGGGGGGCTTTTTCATGGCTGTCAGTTGAATGACACATTTTGACCATTAATCAGTTCCATATTTAGTGTTTTTTAACCAATCGTTATTTTGAGCCAACCCATTTTAAGCTCAAGTTGGGGTGATTTTTAGACGAAATGATATGATCACTCACAATTTTCATTTTTAGAATGATTTGTAGATGTGTTAACATCCCCATAATTACCGTAATCCCCAAATGATAAATCATTGCTGCCCTGGCTTTTGAAGCATTTCTTTAATTGTCCAACTGGTTCATCCACCAAAAAAGGGAATCTGCTAGGGTAAACAACCTGAACTATTTCCCGGCAAAACGAAGATTTATATAGTTTCAAAATGCGTTTGCTTAGGATGAATTAAAACATAATTTTCTAGTTGCAACTCTCCCGTACCCCCAGATTCAGAAAAGCATAAATGTTACCACTGAAATAAAGTAGTAAATAGCATTTTGCTCACAAACCGTCCATTTTTGTTGGGGTTACTACTAGCAACTCTTTGCTGCTTCGTACCCCCTGAAAAGGTTAACCGAAGCCTAAATGTCATAACTAAAACGAGATCGCGAACAGCATTTTAACCTAAGAACTATCCACATTTTTTTTTGTTGGGGGGTTGCTACTAGGAACCCTGTGCTTCGGGGTAATCCCTCTAAAAAGGTTCAGAATAGGTTCCATTTACCACTCGTTTATTTGTTTTAATATCTAAATCTGAACTTATTTTCAAAACATGGTATGTGTCAAAATTGAGTACTCCAATCATTAGATGGCTAATAATTACTACACATAGATTCAAATCTGTGGTTTTTCTGGGTCTTAATCGTTGACCAATATCCAGATAGATGTCATCTGCCAACCTTGGCAGTTGCTACAGGATGGTGCCCCCCAGTTATAAGTTGGTTTATAAACCCCGCGAACTATAGTCATATCTACCATAAGCCATAGTTGAGGCACTTATAAGGCAGCTTAGCTATCTTGGGGGCCTCCGGCCGAGGTTTCTGTTTCAAAGCATCTCTGATGAGGACCTAACGTGGCTCGACCCGAAGGGTGGCAGACGCAAAAAATGTTTTTTTTTTTCAAGCAGATGACTCAGATGGGGGTTTAACCAATGGTTCAACCAACAAAAGTTGGGATTTAAGTGATTTAAGCAATAAAAATGTGGGTTCAAACATCAAATATTGTGGTTTGACCATCAAAAGTGGGATTTCACTAACCATTGGAGATATACAGAATGGGATGTAATGAGGATATGATATATGTATGTATATATATATATACATACACATACATATTTTCACCCAATCAGATGGTCATTCAAAATGCCAATTATGTTTGGGCTTTTACTATGGCATGGATGACATTGAACCAAGATTATATAATAATCCATCCTTTTGGGACCTCTTTTCTTCAACCTCCTATCATTCCAACTAATTTTACTGACAAATCCATTTTTCGAACCAACAAAAGAATGGGGGAGATTGAGACAATAGCAATGCTTTTTTTTTTGGGGGGGGGGGGGGGCTTGCGGGAGATCAAAAACGGGACGGATCAAGAATGGGGGCTGCTAATTGAACAAACAACACATGGCCAATGGATCCAAATGGGGAGATCTGAGCTTCCAATTCCATTGCTTGGCCTTTCCATCCATCAGATCTGGTTGGTGGGTTCTATGCTTTAAACTTCATATTTCCGTCCTGCTCTGGAAATGTGGAAATGTAATGAAATTGATGGCTTTCCTTGGACATGATTCACACATGCTGGATTCTCCACATGATATTTTCTTCGTTTTCCGGAGAGAACACACACACACACATATATATATACTGTATATATATATATATATGTATATCACATATCCCATTCTTTTCGGGATTTTCCATATATTTTCCATGGGATCCCATTATGATCCCATCCCATGATGATCCCATGAAATCGTCCGTCGGATCCCAAGGCGGCTCTCTGCCACTGCCTCGTTGGGGAATTGGGTCCAGCCCAGAACCAAAAAGCCGCGAAGGCGCTGCGGTTCCCTGGAGGGGCACACGGGTCACACGGGTCACACGGGTCACACGGGTCACGACGCAAAAAAGAAACGACGAAGAAACTAGTTCCACTAGTAAACTGGTCGACTTTTATCAAGTTCAATTTTGATGGCCAGAACTTTTTCAGAACTTTAGAGCAGTGTTCTTTCAGCCCCGGTTGATATCATGGCATTATGATGGGATTCTACCCAAATTGGGGAATATCACCATCCAGCAATAAATAAAAAAGGGAATCCCGTTCTCAACGAACTGTAACCAACCAGCGTAAAGGGACGATAAAAAGGCTTTTGAACACGGCTCAAATGTAGACAAGTTACTCAAGTGACTACACAGAAGTTCATGAATAGATTGATCAATTGAATACATATCATATAGTTGCAAATATGCAAATATGTAGAGAAATAAACAACATGAAACTAACAAGGTATGCAAATGGATATGAATTTAAGCAACTTGTTTAAATGTATATATATATGTATTTATTTTGGTTTATTCATTTGTTAAATTGGTTTTTATTTATATAGTGATTACTAGTTGCGTTAAACGTTACGGCGATAGTTTGATGGTGATGCTTCCTTTATCGGGGAGCGACCACCAAATGATCTCAGAGATCAAGTTGGCGAGCTATTATAGCTCTCTCTCTCTCTCACACACACACACGCTACACCCATCTATATATGTCTATGTACACACACATACATATATATATATATATATGATATGATATGATATGATATGATATGATATGATATGATATGATATGTCTATATGTCATTCTAGGTGAGTGTAGATGTAGATATGTAAATACATATGTTTGCACATGTATAATACATGCCCATACATGCCCATACATACATGCATACATGCATACATACATACATACATATATATATATATATATCCACATTTCTATATACATTTATGGACTGTTACGTATCTCGAGAACACCTCCATCGTACTGGTATCTCGAAACTAGTTCCTCTATAAACCTCTATGGCTCTATGATACCAAGAATTTTAGATCCATTCATTGGTCCATCAGTATAAATGTATGAATGAATGAATGAATCAACCGGTCAATTAGTCAATTAGTCAATTAGTCAATCAATTAGTCAATCAATCAATCAATCAATCAATCAATCAATCAAATCTCATTTGATCTAATCTAATCCAGTCTAATCCTGTCTTATCCAGCCTAATCCTATTCCACCCTATCCTAAGTCCTATCCCATGCCATCCTATCCATGTCACAAGCTAATGGCAATTGGTCCCAAGGACCGATCAACTGTGGCAGTCCAAACAAGCTGGCTGGAAAATCACCAGCGAGTTTCATGGTTTCAAAGTCGTGGCTGGATTTTCCAGCCATGTGGACAACCAGAGGCTATTTCCTTTTTTGGCAAACAACCAGTGCGTCATCTTTCATACCAGTAGCGTTTTTGTATTCGGTCCTTTTTTTCCTCGGCCGCCTCGGCCGGTTTTGAGAAGCCTTTGGACTACATCGGGGGATCACTGCATCCATGGGAGGTCGGTGCTGGACCAGATCCGCAATGAGACGCTTGGCTTCGCAGTCCCTGATTGCTTCGCTGCGAGTCAGGCGTGCATGAGCGGAATCTGGAAGTCTCGCTGAGTCACCAGAAGTTGGTCGTAGTGCTCAAGTCACCCATGTTCTGGTTTGCGATCCACTAACAGCGAGAAGTTTACTGCCAGAAGAGGTACCTCAGTCAGCTTGGGCCAGACTGCGACCAAGGTAACAGTGGCTCAAAATTCTTGAAACAATTTGGAGAGCTTAGAAAACATAATATATAAATGCATAAGTACATAAATAAGCCAGGCCAGTGATATAAGTGCATAAGTCCAATTTTGAGCCAGAACCAGCCATTTTTGGGTTTGTCTGAAAATTTGAGGGAAACGTGGAGAACACCAGGTTCCTTCCTGACACGGCCTAATTGTGATTGGGGTTATTTCACCATTTTCAGACAGATCCATTGCATTGTCATTTCTTAGTGACCAGAAGTAGGAGCAGCTTCGATCCCAAGTGCAGATACCTTTGCTAAGTGCATCACTGCTGTGCAGACCGTCTGCAGACGTTCGAGACATCCCTCGGAGGGCCTGTTACCACAGAACTCGCCAAGCGATGTCATGTGCCGGGTCTCTGAACCCCGAACCTGCACCTGCCTGCGCTTGGGACACACAGTGATTGCATGTGTGACATGCAGAGAACCAGAGAGGATGGATATATATATATATATATGTATACATTTACAGTTGCATATGCAGTTAAACACATGCATTTAAACAATGTGACATATAGATATGCGGCTATATGCGTATACTATCGTATATTCGATGAGAACTGATCAATCATTGGCTTTGTTGGTTGCTTGCTCCATCGTTTCGGGTCGGCTTCCGGTCTTGTCGTTAGTTCGCTCGTGCGCTCGTAAGGCAAAGCCACCAGCGTGAACAAAAAGGGCAGTTGACGGTCCATGCGATCAGGCTTGAGGTGCAACAACCATGGAGATTCAACCGGGCCAAAATATCTGGATTTCAACATGGATTTCACCAAAGTTGTAGTTTTGAGTAATTAAATTTAACCAAACTTCACCAGAAATTGCAACAGCATCTTGAGCAGAACATGGGATCTATCCGCGAGAAAATGGACAAAATGTGCATCACCGATCCACGGAGGTCCCGGGGTAAAACCGGGTCAATGGGCCGCAGTTGTTTTGAACCATCACTGCATAGCCTTGATGCGAGAGAACCGTTGCCCACCTCTTTCAGATGGATTTCCCATCCCCAAACCCACCATGCCGAGGTAATGCCGTTTGAGATGTGCGAGAGAATTGATTCAGATGAAAACTGCCTGCTTGTCGCTAGACTCCACCTCAATTTCCAATTTTTTTATTTGCCACGTCTTGGGGATGTGATGGATAACATACAAGCCCTGACCCATCAGGTTCTGGGCGCTTCCAGGGTTCAAGGGTGCCAGTCACTGCTGTCGGGAACACTTCCGGTATTTCAGTTGCTTCAGAGTCAATTTAGAAACAAGATGCGACTTTTGCAACCCCCAACCAGAAAGAATAATAATTTATCACTATTCAATTGGCATTTTGTTATGGTATCTTTCTGGGGCCTGTTTTAGATAAGACTAGAGAAGCAGGCCGTGCGACTTCGTGTACAAAGAAATCTCGCAGCAATCCAGATGACCTGGCGACTCCAACAGGCGAAGAACACGCGGTTTCCATGTTTTTTTTCTCGTGGCAAACCCAAAAGACCATACCCTCTGGTAGTTTATGGTAATTTGACATAATTGAAAACCAGCATTTTAATATGCAAAATCACCTGTAAATGGGCAGAAGGCACCCTGTTCATGTACCCAACTTTACCATTTGGGAAGTGTGAAAACATGGAACAACTAGACACACAATCACGTGGTTCACGCATGGGTGCACCAACTTAAGCCGTAATGAACCACTGATATGTCGTTTCTTGACTTGGGATGCCCGCTGCGGCACGCAACAGCCGGGCATTGTGTGTGTGTGCTGCCATTTGTGATGCCGTTGGCGAAGACAATTCTCACTGCAGCAATCAAATTCTCAAGCTGCTGCAACTAGAACTGAGGGATGGAACTAAAAGTTAGTTCTTTTAAGTCTCTACCCTATGGGGTGAATGCAAATGAAACAGTTGTGTTTTTCTCGAAGAAGTGATGTCAAACTGCATGAACTGACACTTGCATCACTTGCTTCGGCACGAGTTCACTCCCTTGTGCGCTTATTTTCCGTGAATTATATACATTGAGCAAAGGTGCCAAGTTTTTGCAGTCCGGAGCTGGGAATGTTTTGAAACATCCACTGTCCTGACTGATTTCAAAACTTTTCCATTTCCCTTCTGCCTGCGAATCAAACATGGTAATGGAAGATCCAGTATTTATAGATGAGTTTCCCATTAAAATGCCGAGAGAGAGAGGGTTTCACAGCTTGCCATGTTTGATAACCGCAGAGTACTCGAAAGTTTCTACCCATGGATGTGGCGATGGAGGCAAGGACAGTGTATGTGTTGCCATGCTGACTGAAGAACAGTCACATGCTGCAAAATTTCCAGGGCTGCAGGTGTTTACGCCAGATCACAACCAGGGGGAAAGAGCGCACAGGGCATTAAAGTCTCAGTGTTTGTGAATGGGTTGGCTAGGGCATCAACCAGTTGAGTTCAACTTTCATTTTTGCACGTTTTGGCTCAGATCCAGTGGTTCACCACGGGTGAACCGTACCGCCAGGGCCGAGCTTCCCACGGGAAGGCGTAACGGATGGGAAACACCCAGTGTTGTAAGGCAGTGGACACCTCCCCCGATGCGGCGGCGGAAGCCATGCCCATCATGGAGTCGTGGCCCGCGAATCCGGGCAAACCTGTGATGGACGTGCCGGCCGTGTCGGGGGGCAACAGCCCACATGAGCGCATGTACAAGGTGAGCCTGAAGAAGGTGCGGAAAGATGTGGTGAAAGTGAACATATTTTTGATGTCTACTCTCTGAAGGGTTTCAAGATTCGAAAAATATCGAAGTGTTGACCTTTTTGTAAGGGAAGTTATTTTGGTAAGGGGGGTTTCTGCATAGCCTAACATCACCCTTTGGTGGTTTAGTTTTCCGCTTTTGCTACAGGTTTCAAAACATCATATATATATATATATAAATATTATATAGAGTTATATACATGTAATTAATTGTAATTACCCTTTGGTGTTATAACGACAATAATCCTAAGAAGTATGAACGATGCGTTGCCTTATTTTACACGTGAAAAGAAGGTCAGTGAATAAATAGATGGATGAATGTAACATGCAATATGTAATATAATACAATATTATGACATAATATAAATAATATATACAAAAATATTTTACCATAATATGATATAACATAATATATTATAAGATAGTATGATACAACATAATATATCATAACATAATATAATATAGCATATAATATAATGTAAAACAATATAATATAGCATATAATATAATGTAAAACAATATAATATGACAAAATATAATGTAATATAATGTAATATAATATAATAATATAATATGTAACAATATATATATATATATACATATAGGATTTGCACATATATATATATATATATATGTATATTCGTATGTATGTGTGTGTATAAGTCTTACATGCCTTCTTTTTTTGGCCTGGCTAGGTGGAAGGCCAGAAGTTAGGCCTGGATGTGGATTACATGGCGGAGCGCAGTGTGCTGCCCATTTTGGTGATCTCTGGTGGCATCTCTGAGCAATGGAACAAGCAGCACCCGGAGAGGAAGATGACACCAGGGGATAGTGTGGTGGAGGCCTGGCTTGGTGGATCATGTCGATATATTTGATTCATTATATGTATATATATATAGAGAAACTTACATTGGACTATAAATATATGATAATGTATGTATGTAACTATATCCACTTGGACTATAAATATATGATAATGTATGTATGTAACTATATCCACCTATCTATATTTAGATATATCATGACCATAGCTATTCATGTATAGATGTAACATACAGTTGTGTGCACACATACATGTTGCAGATGCATTGTAACTTTATATATGGATATACACACTTGAGTTGGATTATACTCGTACGTACAGTGCATTCGTGATATCGTATTCTATGATGCCGTACGTTTTTACATAATAGTCATAATACACATGGAGTTCCTCAAGATGATGTGTGATATATTTGTATTTGAGATGCGCGCGTGCACACGCGTATGTATATATAAATATAAATATAAATATGAATATAAATATAAATGTAAATATAAATATAAATATAAATATAAATATGAATAAATAGGCGAGTGTATATATATATATATAAATGCACGCAAGCGTGCACACAAACACACACTTCACACACACACACCTCTCTCTCTCTCTACAAGAACACATGCCAATCTCTCCTTGTAGATGTATGTATGTATGTATGTATGTATGTGTATATAATGGTATATATATATATAGATGTACTGTATGAATATAACGTGGTGCACTGCAATGCAATGCAATGTCATGTCATGTCATATCATGTCATGTGTGTGTAGGCTGACATATGCAGGTCGGCCGTTTCACTCAGCGCTGGCACAAAAGCTGATCACAAAAGCATCCCAAGAACGTTTCCTAAATAGTTGAGCTCGGGGGATGCCATTTACACGCGCACACATGTATGATGGTCATATACATATGTATACAGTAATGTATGTATGAAAATCTGTATGTAAATGCATTCATATTTACATACAAACATACATACATACATACATACATACACAACATACCGTACCGTACCGTACTGTACCGTACCGTACGGTACCATACCATAGCATAGCATATCATACCAGACAGACACATACATACATACATTACACGACACTACGCTACGTTACATTACATTTCATTACATGACATACCATACATACATACACATACATACAGATACACACAAATACATACACATACATACACATACATCCACATACATACATGCATACACATACATACACATACGTATACAGTATACATATTCACACATATACATACATACATATATACATATATATATATACATACATATACATACATATACATATATATATATGTACATACACACACACACATATATATATATACATACATATACATACACATACATACATATATACATATATATATATACATACATATACATACATATACATATATATATATATATATGTACATACACACACACATATATATATATATATACATACATATACATACATATACATACAGCATATACATACATATAGATGCATGTGCGTACAAATACATACATATAGATACATATACATATGCATGCATATACACACATATACATACGTATACATACGCATACAACATACATTTACAGACATGTACATACACTAGACAAGAAAGGATCTTTGAAAAGATCCGTCAGGAACTGAGTCCTGTAACATGCAAACCAGCCTAGACAATTAGACCTTAAAAAAGATAATGCAGGTATGTTTACACGCGTCCCGGGGGGGTGTCTTCGGTGGCCACCGGCCCCCGGGACCCCGGTGGCCCCCTGCATTACTATGATTATTATTAGAAACGGAGAGGAAAGAAGAAAGAGAAAGAGAGAAGTTTTACATCTATTCAGATGTTACAGACACACACACACACACGGCCGGAGCCGGGTCAAACCTGAAAGGCAAGAGGAAGAGAAAAGCGGACGCAAACGACGGGCCAACGACCAAAACAGCGCAGGGGGGGAAGGGAACAGACGGACCTCCAGAACCAACCTACACGGCGAAACGGACCTGACAAGGAACAGGGCACACACCTAAACCCCACAACACATTACGGAGAAGCCGCGAAGGGAGGGTAATCAGGGACCAAATGGGGGACTAGTTGGTGACGAGAGAAAACCAAAACAATTAATTAAAAACAAGACTCAGTCCCTAGATACTTAGAGGTCGTGCGTTATTCCCTTGCCGGGACCGTGGTCAAGTCGCGCCGCAATGGCATAAACAGCTGTTCAAGTTCCAACGAATTAGGTGCGCAATATGTTTGACCTCACCAGACAACCATCAAAAGAAAAAGTCACCAAACCTGCAAGCATGAACCTGCCTTGCCTGTTGTCATGGATGTCGCAAGCTGGAGCTGCAGCGGTGAAAAAATTGTGCTTCTGGTTGTTCAGAGCAACTTCACGTTGAAAGAGCGGCAATTGGCGAGGTTAGTGGGGACGACAAGAACGGCGGGACTTCGTGAAAAACGGTGCAGAACAGTAAGGCCAACTGTTGCACTTTACTTAAACGAACTACTAAGTTAAAATGTGTGAATTCGGAAGTCAAGTCTGTCCACAGTCACCCACAAAGGGGTTGCCTCAATTGGCCCTATGTCACCTTGTCGGCGTCACCATAGGAATCACACTAGACAAGAAAGGATCTTTGAAAAGATCCGTCAGGAACTGAGTCCTGTAACATGCAAACCAGCCTAGACAATGGACCTAAAAAAGACAATGCAGGTACGTTTACACGGGTCCCGGGGGTGTGTCTTTGGTGGCCACCGACCCCCCCGGGACCCCGGTGGCCCCCTGCATTACTATGATTATTATTAGAAAGGGAGAGGAAAGAAGAAAGAGAAAGAGATTTTACATCTATTCAGATGTTACACACACACACATACACATACATACATACATGCACATACATACATACATACATACATACATACACACATACATACATACATACATACATACATACATACATACATACATGCACATACATACACACATACATCCACATACATCCACATTCATGCACATACATACACATACATATGCAGATGCATACATACATTCATACATACATACATTCATACATACATGCATGCATACATACGTACACATACATACACATTCATACACATACATACACATACATACACATACATACACAAACATACACAAACATACACAATCATACACATACATACACATATACATACACATACATATACATACATACACATACATAAACACATACACATACATACACATATACATACACATACATACACATACATATACATACACATACATACACATACATACACATACATACACATAAGTACACATACATACACATACAGATACATACACATACATACACATACATATACATACACATGCATACACATACATACGTATACATACCTATACATACGTATACATACGTATACATACGTATACATACGTATACATACATATACAAAAGTATTCATACGTATACAGTATACATATACATATGTATCCATACGTCTACATACGTATACAAACGTTTACATACGTATCCAGTATACATATACATACGTATACATACGTAAACATACGTAAACATACGTATACATACGTAAACATAAGTATACATACGTACACATACGTATACGTAAATATACGTATACGTACGTATTCATACGTATACATACGTATACATACGTAAACATACGTATACATACGTACACATACGTATACGTAAATATACGTATACGTACGTATTCATACGTATACATACGAATACATACGAATACATACATACATACATACATAGACATACATACATATACACACATACATATACACACATACCATACATATGTACATACGTACATACATACGTACATTCATACGTACATACATATGTACATACGTACATACATTCGTGCATACATACGTACATACATACGTACGTACATACATACGTACATACATACGTATACATACGTATACATACATATACATACGTATACATTGGTATACATACGTATACATACATATAGGTACGTATATATACGCAGACACATACATGTACATATAATATTCATATACATACAGACATACAGACATACAGACATACAGACACACAGGGATACAGACATACAGAGATACAGAGATACAGAGATACAGACATACAGACAGACAGACTGACAGACAGACATACATACACACACACATACACACATACACACATACAGATATACACACATACACGCATATACACATACAGACATAGAGGCATACAGACATACAGACATATAGACATACAGACATGCACACATACACACAGACGCACAGACGCACAGACACACAGACACACAGACACACAGACACACAGACACACAGACACACAGACACACAGACACACAGACATACAGACATACAGACATACATACAGACAGACATACATACATACATAGATACATAGTTGCTTAATTGCATACATACATACAGGCGGACGGACGGACGGACAGACACACAGACAGACACGGTCACACACACACACATACACTCTGGTAAACTAACATAACTATGGAACATCACCATTTTAAAGGACGGTAAACCAACAAACTAAATGGCAATTTTTCAATGGCAAACTGTTCGTTTCTTGCCGTGCCAGGTCAACGGTATCCGAGGCAATGTGGCTCTGATGCTGGAGAAGTGTAAGGCCGATCCGACGTTAGAGTTGACGATTTGCAAATGCCTCACCTTTGGTCACTTGGTGGCGGACCTCGAGTAGCTTGGAGCAATGCTGACCAGCAGATTTCTGGGGCACTGGAAAGATGTCGGTTGTTTATGGTTGTTTCAAATATGTGCTTTACTGTACTTCCAATGCCATTTTGGGATGACCTCCAAGCAACAAGCAACATTCATATTTTTCAACTCTGGTATGAAAATTTGCACTTTGGTTCCAGGGAACATCTGCAGGACTCCCCCATATTTGAAGTCATATTTGGGGATAAAAACCAATGGTTTCCAAACAATCCCCTTGAAATCATTGATTCACCTGTTTTTGGCCAAAAGAAAAACTTTCTGGCAACTCTCAGGAAACTGATTTCCATCAAAGGTTGTGGTCCCATCATGATCCGCCTTTCATGGCACGATGCCGGTGTCTTCAACGGCACAGATGGCTGCCCCAACGCCGCCATGCGCCTGGCCGGGGGGGGGGAACACGCCTTCGGCGCCAATGCGGGCTTGCCGCAGGTGGCCATCCCCTTGTTGCAGGCCATTAGCGACAAGTACGTTCCAAGGCGGAGATGGTGGCACTGGTGACTCTGGTAAATTAAGAGTTGGACCCCGAAAATCACCAATTTTTTGTGGTTTCACGAATCTTCCAACCCCGAAAAATGGCAGGGTCGTCATGTTAATTTACTGGAGGGTCAATGGAGATTTACTATGAATTTAAACATCACAAATCGTGATTTTTAAGGGGGACCAGATGGGTGGCATCGTGGTTTTTCAGGGGGACAAGATGGGTGCTTAATCATGGTAATGATGGTTATACCATATTCTAGCGTATTTTGGGCGGATGAGCATCTAGCTATACCAGCTGTTTTCGTGTGAGCTACAGAGTGCCAGGCTGTTGACTCATAGGGGATTGACGAGTTTTAAGAAACTATACTATATGGAACCATACAAAATCAACAGAATCAACATAATCAGCATAGAATTAGATGCAAAATACAAGTGGTTGTTGTTGGTTTAAAATATTAGATGTAGACCCTGCAGTGATGGAAAAATGTTGGGACACATGAAGTCTTATCTGATTACTTGACGTTTGGGAATCAAACATGTCAATAGACAACTCCCGATTAAGTTCGATGATTTTCCCATTCAACCATCCATCTATGGCTGGAGTTCTCAGCCACGTTTGATCACACCGGATGATCCAATAATATCCTATCACTAGACTCATTATTATCCATAGTAAACGTGATTAAACCATGTAAAAACCCTACTGAACTACCATGAAAGCTCCATTTTTCGTCCTCCTTTAACAGTTTCGCCAGGCTCATTTCCCACGCGGATCTCTGGGCCTTGGCGGCCAACGTGGCCATCAAAGTCATGGGCGGCCCAGAGGTCACCACGCACTTCGGGCGCTTCGACGTGCAGGCGCACAAGGAAGGCATGCAGTCGGCCGCGGGACGACTTCCGGATGGGGACAAGGTGGCTGGGGCTGGGGCTGGGGCTGGGGCTGGGGCTGGGGCGGTTTTTGGGGTGCTTTAATGATAAAGATTTTGATGATGATAGATTGATGATATTGAGATTGATGATTAGATATTGATGATCCATTCAGGTTCAGTTTCTTTAGCACATGACTCAGTTTTCTCCGTATTTTTTTGGAAAGGTTTGATGCTGTGGACACACCTCCAAGAGCTGGGGAGCTGGCCAGCCACTGGTCATGGGACCCAAATGGTTACAAGGAACCAAGTCCCAAATGGGGCCGCAACCACTACCTACTGTCAATGCGGAGAAGGGCAACAAAAACAAATATGACTTCTTGAAGTCAAGATATAGAAGACAATAGTTGAAACACAACGATGTTAGCCATCAAAACATGAGTTGATTGACTGCGGAAAGGGCCTGGTGAGGGGGATGTTTGACAACAAATTATATAATGCCGAATGAGAATAAAGATGAAGATATCGCACACGTACCTACCAATACTGTAAATACTGTAAAAATCCTGCTATTTTTCTGCCCTGCTTACTGCATTTTTCAACTCTTCTAGTTGCTGTTTCCTTTTTTTCTCTCAGTTTTTGTATAGCGTTTTTCTTGGCAAGGACATCTCTTCCCCCTAACATTGAATGCCCACCTAGAAACCGTGGTTCAGCAACTGATCTCCAGATCTCATTTCCATATCATATGCCATTCGCCCTATGATACCTGTAAACCTCCGTTAAATGGTAAGAATCATCAACCAACCATCAAGATGTCTCAGCCAAACCATTTCCCCAGGATATGTCCATTAGATTTCCATGATGTTCCCATCAATATTCCCATCAAGTTGGGAATGATATTCCCATTATCTTCCCGTCCATCATTTTGGAGGATTCCATCCCCTATTCGTCCCCCTACTATTAACCACCCATAAATGGTACCATATATGTGGTGTCATCCCCTAAACCATGGTTTCTGGGGTGTGTTTAATATTGTTGGTTAAGTTATATCAGTTATATCCCCATGAATATTCCCATTAACCACCATTAACAGTTAACATCCATTAACCACCATGAATCACCATTACTCACCCTTCATCAACGACCACAAAGAACGGCCACGCCGGGTCACGCCGGGGAGAGCGGGGCTTGTTTCGCAGGACGCCCAGCATCTCCGTGACATTTTCTACCCCAAGGGTTTCACGGACCAGGACATTGTGGCACTCTCAGGCTTGGTTCGACGCTGGTCGGGCTCGGTCGTGTTAAACCATTGGGAGGACGGTGCTATGTGGGTAGTTGATTATTGCCAGTTATTGTCAATTATTGGTTTTCGCATCTTTACGTACTTTAGTTGGCCTGTAAAGGTTCAAGAATTGGATGAAGGACAGACATATGTTCTTTTTTTCTCCGGGATACCTTGGAGTCTCCAGAATTGGATGAGTTGGGAAAATTGAAACCGGAGATCAACATCTTTTAATGGTAACAGCGCCATGGTTTCGTAGAGATTTCCCAAGGATTTTCCATTAAACCAACCCAATGATGGACATTCTGTGCTTTTTTCTGGCCCCTTCCAGGCACCCTTTTTGACACACACACACACACTTTGATGTGACTTTGTTTTTACCCAGTTGTGTCTATAACAATATGTTAATATGTGTGTGACGGTGTATATATATATAATAAGTTATTATGAACCACTTACTATCTTTTACTTTCTCCACATTGATTATGCTCTTGTAGTCCTGGCAATGGAAGATGCACCCATGGTTTGACTACCACGATATTTCGATTGATCAATTTTGAACATGCGGATATCCCATTGATTGCCAAATAAACCATGAAACATACCCATGTTGACTGGCTATTATCGTGTATGAGACTGGGTGGTCTATTGAAGACTTTAATAAATAAGTCATCACAGGGTGGCCTATTAGCCAACCAAAAGTTATCACGGAATTGGATAGCGGTATTTTTCCATGGAGATATTCCCATCATACTTAGTTTATTAAAATACCCCATTTCACAATTTTACAGTATCCCCATTGTATCCCCATTATATCCCCATCTGGGTGTATCCCCCATTTCCACGGACGAGATGGGACGAGTTATCCAGGTGCCCACACTGTTGGGGCTTGCCATGCCGAACGCTCGGGCTTCGAGGGTGCATGGACAGACGACAAGTTGAAGTTCGACAATGCATACTTCAAAGACTTGCTCAATAAGAATTGGAGCATGGAGACCGTCTCTGGATTCCAGATTTTGTTTCTTTCCCCCTTCTTCTCCTTTATATATATATATGGTATAATGTAATATACGTATGTTTACATGTATTTGATTTATATATGTGTTTATGCGTTCATGTATTTATTTACTTATATATATATCTGCTTAGATGTTTATTTGTTTATGATTAAAATCACTTGTTTTTCAAAAGGCACATTTTTTATCCCATGTTATTTTTTGGGGATTTGAGTATCAGACATGGTGTGCAAGTGGGTCCCAGTCGCCAAGGTGAAGTCTGGGAACAAGCAATACCGCTGCGGCAAGACCATGATGCTCACCACTGACATGGCACTCATTGAAGATCCCAAATTCAAGGACTGGGGTGGACTGAAAACGCCATGGCATTGGGAGCATTGGGGGAAAAAAAGGGGACCTACACGATGTCCATCATGGATTGGATGATCATCCCATTTGACTCATATCGGGTGTGAAGACATTTGGTTTGTAGCCATTGACTGTAAATCGTTTGTGCAACGGGTTACCTGAACTGTCTTTTTGGGCGAAGCGATTGTGTGCATCCTACAGTCAGCGGTTGTTTTTCTGGCGACTCTTGCACAGCAGCAGGTTAGATTGCCACAGGCTGGAGCGCCTGAATGTGACTGTGGATCAAAAGCTACAATACATCTTAATATCATATTCAGGGGGAATGACCGTGCATAAATCCAAGCTCTTTTTAGCTATTTTGATGTTCATCAAGATCCTGATCGGGTTTTGACATTTTTCTCCATATTTGAACCTTCAGGAGTATGTGAAAAAGTACGCCAACGACCAATCGGCCTTCTTCGAAGACTTCAAGATGGCATGGGTGCAGATGCAGGAGTTGGGCTGTGGTCAGCTTCGAGATATTTTGTAAGATTGGCGCCTTGTTGGCCTCGCTTTGCGGTTTGCTGTTTTTGGGTGGGGTTGATGGACAACATCCGCCAAAACATGGGGAAGCGACGAGCTACTACCCAGTAAATTCAAATAGATATGGACACATCAGCATTGTAGATCATTTTCCCTGGAAAACCATTGGCTTTCCATATCTATGTTACTATGCTGGAGGGCACGTTTCTTTTTTTTGGGGGGAACCCTGGATCCAGCAAAGTCCGAGGCAACGGCGCGAAAATCTGAGAGGTGTTTCACGAGACCCTTGATTTGGGATGGGAGATGCCTGCAGTTTTTTTTTTCCTTCATGGCTCTGGGTGGGCTCCCGTCCCCCGTGGGCATCACGAACAGTGGTGAATGTAAATCAATGTTAATCAGCTTGCACTTTTGGTTTTGAACTGGTGATTTCCCAAGATTTTGGTTTGGGGAGACCCTGTAAATTTTCCCTGTTGTTTCATGTCCACACACCTCTCCATGCTTGGAAGCTTCGACACATCAGGCTACCTGACGTGCGACAGGTTCACAGGGGCAACGAATCCCAGAAATCTCATCTTGACGCAAACCGGAAAAAGGGGCGACTGATGGACCCCCACCAAGACATAGATAGGCTATGATAGGCTTCTATTCAGAATCGCCTGATGTACAAACTTATTTAGGCATTGCTGGTTGCAGCCGCATCTTTAAAGATATATTTTGTTGAGTGTCAAGCATTCTTCAAACCCGCTTTGACTTTGGCTGCTTTCTATCAGTTCTAGTTCTATCCCTATTTTTGTGGGTCAAGCGCCTATTTTCGGCTCATCCTTGCCAATTTCGGTGATGACAGCCATGGCTTGATGACGGGCTTGAGAAGCAGAACCTACCACTCTAGAAAGGCTTCAAGATCTTAAAGCTTCAAGTTTCTTTTTGGAGATGCACTTCGTACATTGAATCAAGTTCCGTCGGTTCCTTCTTGGTAGTTCCGGAGGTGAATTATCAGCCCATCATCAGCTTGCAACGGAAAAGCACATGAGAAGCTTGTTTGGATCCATGGTTTTGCCAAGTTGAGAGCTGCGACGTCGATGTGCCGTCCTTAGATTCTATTAGATCTATTCATGAATTGCGGGGCATCTTGGGGAAATTCATCTTGGGGAGAAGGGATTGTAAACTCTGGTAGGTGAGGTTACGCTCCTGTAATCAAACATGGTGATGGAAAAATCCTTGCACCCAGACGAGAATTCACACGAAAACCAATTTTTGAACAAGGTGAACATCCGTAGGTGATGCTGGGAAAAATGCAAGGTTGCAATTAGCGCGGTATTTGAATTTCAAAAAAGCCGCCACTCAAGTGGCCGCAAGTGGCCGCAAGTGGCCGCAAGTGGCCGCAAGTGGCCGCAAGTGGCCGCAGGGGGCTGTTGGAGCAAGTGGCCGCAAGTGGCCGCAAGTGGCCACAAGTGGCCGCAAGTGGCCGCAAGTGGCCGCAAGTGGCCGCAAGTGGCCGCAAGTGGCCGCAGGGGACTCGAGAGGCCGCGAGTGGCCGCAGGGGGCTGCTAGAGCGTGGCCGCAAGGGGTCCCTACTGTAGAGCAAGTGCACGGCAGCCACTTGCAGCCACTTGCAGCCACTTGCAGCCACTTGCAGCCACTTGCAGCCACTCGAGTGGCCGCAAGTGGCCGCAAGAGGCTGCAAGTGGCAGTCCGGAGTGCCACATTCCTCAAAACTTGAAAAAACAAACAGTTGTCCTGCAAATCGCATTTTTTTCAAGTTTGCCTTGCAACGGCAGTTAAGGGGCTGCTAGAGCAAGTGGTCTTACGACCACTTGCAGCACCTTCCAGCGACTTGCATGACTTGCAGCCACGCGGGGGGCCGCAAGTGGCCGCAAGTGGCCGCAAATTGCAAATGCCAGTCCAGATTGCTCCCCTCCTCGAAACTTGAAAAAAAACACAGTTTTCCCGCGAATCGCATTTTTTTCAAGTTTGCCTTGGAACGGGATCTTAAAGTTGCAACGAAGGGCAGAAAGTAACGAATAAAAAGACCAGAGGTGAAACGAAAGGAAGGGAGGAACAAATGAAAGGCCAGAGGTGAAACGAAAGGAAGACAGTTACGCATCAAAAGCCACAACGAATGAAGGGGACCAGTTGAAACGAAAGGAAGGAACGAATGAAAGACCAGAGGTGAAACGAAAGGAAGACAGTAACATATCAAAAGCCCCAACGAATGAAAGGGAAGAGTTGAAACGAAAGGAAGGAAGTAACGAATGAAAGGAAAGAGATGCAACGAAAGAGTTCAAGTAACAAACGGACTGTAAGAGGTGAAACGAAGGGGAAGAAGTAACGAATGGGATTTATAAAGGAGGTGAAGCGTAAGGACGGACGTAACGAAATGAACGAATTGAAATGAAGGGAAGCGGTAACGAACGGGATGTCAGCGTTGAAACGAAAGGAAGACAGTGACGAATGAAAGGAAAGAGGTGAAACGAAAGGAACGGCCGAACGGAAGGGAAGAGTTTAAACCAAAGGAAGGAAGTATAACGAATGTTCGGAAAGAGATGCAACGAAAGAGTTCAAGTAACAAACGGACTGTAAGAGGTGAAACGAAAGGGAAGAAGTAACCAATGGATTGTATAAACGAGGTGAAACGTAAGGACGGACGCAACGAAATAAACGACTTGACAGCAAACGGAAGGAAGGAGCCGAAACGAAAGGAAGGAAGTAACTAACGGGGTGGAGCGTTGAAACCAAAAGAAGGAAGTAACAAACGAAATAGACGAGTTGGAATAAGACAAACATGTAAACGAAAGGATTGTATAGGAATTGACACGATGGGAAGGACGTAACCACATGAACGGCTTGATCCGAAACGAAAGGAACAAGTACATGAACGGGGTGGAAGCGTTGAAACGAAAGAAAGGAAGTATCAAACGGACGGGAAGAGTTGAAACGAAAGGAACGATGTAGCCAATGGAAGGGAAGCGTTTAACGAAAGGGAAGAAGTAAGGAACCGGGGATATTCTCTGAGGCCTCCTACCTTTTTTACATAGAATGCATTGATGCTACTCCCCAACAGCTTCTCCTTAGTCTTCTAACATGGTTGCTGCTACGCTCTAAGATCTACCCAACTTTCAAATATTCTACCATCATTGATGCTACGCCCCAAGATCTGCGCATTATCTTTCCAAGCTTCTACCATTACTGATGCTGCGCACTAAGATCTTCTCTTCAATCTCCAGACATCATTGACGCTACTGATCTTCAATTTCTGCTATCATTGATGCTACGCTAAAGATCTTCTCTTCAAGTTTCCATCGTCAGCGATTATACGCTCACAGATCTTCTCCTCAATTTCCAACATTGTTGATGTTACGCTTTCAGATCTTCTCTTTACTTTTCAGACATCATCGATGCTGCGCTCTAAGATCTTCTTTTGATTTTTCTGACATTCTACCCGCATTATCCCGCATGGATGCTATGCTTTTCGATTTTCTTTTCATTTTTGTCCCATTGTACCATCATTGATGCTACGCCCTAAGATCTTCTCTTCAATTTTCAAACAAGTTTGATGCTACGCTCTAAGATATTCTCCTCAATTGTCCAACATACTTGAAATTACTTGAAGCTACGTTCCAAGATCTTTTCCTCAAGTTTCAAACATCAGTGATGCTACGCGCCAAGATCTTCTCTTCAATTTTCCAACATCATTGACGCGACGCTCTAAGATCTTTTGTTCCATTTTCTGACATCATCAATGCTGCGCTCTAAGATATTCTTTTCAAGTGTCCAACATCACCGACCCATTGATGCTACGTTCTTGGATCTTCTCTTCAACTTTCTTTTACCATTGACGCTACGTGCCAAGGTCTTCTCTTGTATTTTCTAACATGCCACGCTCTAAGATCTAATCAACTTTCAAACATTTCATCATCATTGATGCTATACTCCAAGATTGTTTCTTCAACTTTCCAGCATTCTACCATGAGTGATTCTACGGTCTAAGATCTTCTCTTGAAGTTTCTCACATTCTACCCTGATTCATGATACCCTGCAAGTTTCTAGCGATTTTCTTACATAGTACTGCGTTGATGCTACTCTCCAACATTGTGCTTTTTTTAAACATCATAGATCCTCTAAGGTGTTCTCTTCATCAACTTTCAAGCATTATATCAATTATACCATCACTGACGCTACGCTCTAAGATCTTCTCTTCAGCTTTCTGACACAATTGACGCTACGCTCTGAGATTTTCTCTTCAACTTTCTACTATCATTGATGCTACGCTCTGGTATACCTTTTCCGTTTCCAACATTCTTCCATCATTTTGCTACGCTCAAAGATCTTCCCTTCGACACCATCATTGAAGCTATTCTCCAAGATCTTCTGTTCAGTTTTCTACCTTTCTACCACCGTTGATGGAAGACATGGGTGGTATATGGTTTGCCACATGGTTTTGACTATCCGGGGCCGGCGTGAGGCACGATAAAAACATTCTTATCCAACCTCCAAACTTGAAACGAAACGCCTTTCCAGCAAAACTTTTTTTTTTTAAAAGATGCCAACTTTGCCATATATTTCTACCATTTTCTACCAGCATGCAGCCACTCGCAGCCACTTGCAGCCACTTTCAGCCACTTGCAGCCACTCGATTGGCTGCAAGTGGCCGCCGGAGCAAGCGGCCGCAAGAGGCCTCTGAAGCAAGTGCATGGCAGCCACTTGCAGCCACTTCCAACCACTCGAGTGGCCGCAAGTGGCCGCTCCAGACAGTTCCAAGCAAGTGGACGCAAGTGGCCGCTCCGGAATTTCCAGCAAGTGGCCGCAAGTGGCCGCCCCAGCCAGTTCCAGGCAAGTGGCCGCAAGTGACCGCAAGTGGCCGCTTTCGGCCAAATCAATTTCCAGCCTCAAAGCAATCGCTCTGGAAAAATGTCCCCATCAGGTCAAAATAACGGTTTCCCATATTTGAATCAATCTTGATGGGGGGCAGAATGCTAAAAACATG